CTTCGGACCTCCACAGGCAGAGCATGACACAGGTGCACTTACCTACATGTAGGCAGTACACATAAATTTTTTTTCTTTTAAAAATATGGGTCAGGGGACACTAGCTTTAACTGCAGTCCTCCTCCATCAGTCAGTCTCTGACAGATTTGATTTAGAAATGCAAAACACCAACCTTAGTTTCAAGGTAGAGAACATTTAAATAAGAGAAAAATATTTAAATATGACTCACTCTTGAAGAGACTATTTTTGTTTGTTTGTCTTTTTGAGACAGGATCTCCTTGTAGTCCCAGCTGACCTGAACTCACTATGTAGACCAGGCTGGCCTTGAACTCACAACGATCCGCCTGCCTCTGCCTCCTGAGTGCTGGGATTAAAGGCCTGTGCCACCACATCCAGCTTATAAATAAAATTTTTTAAAAAGTTAAAAAAAAATAGCCAATGTGTTGTGGCTATCAGGCCTACCTTCTGTCAATCAGCATTTATAGCTAAAATGTATAAATTTAAAACAGTTTAAATTTTTAAAATTACATTTATTTGTTACTAATAAATTAATTGATAAATTTATTTATTATTTGTGTGTGTATGTGTGGGGGCATGTACGTCAACAATGTGTCCTGGAGGTCAGGGACAACTTGCGGGAGCTGGTTCTTTCTTTTCTCATGCAAATCTTGGGGATCAAACACCTGTCATCAGTCTTGGTAGGAAGTGCCATTTCACCAGCCCAACTTAAAACTGTTTTAAAAAGTTAAATGTATAAATAGAACTATAAGCTAAACTTTGATTTTCAGTGCTGGGGATGGACTCCCTGGCCTCATTCATGCTAAGCAAGCCTCTACCACTGAGCTACGTACACCCCTAGCCCAAGTTTTAACAGTTTGAGTGAAGATAAAAATCCACACAAGCATACAAGGTCAAAAGCCAGTCATTTTGTCCCTGTGCAACAGTCAGCTAGCTCATGGATCTGAGGGGGAGGTGGTGATTCATGTTTCTCCGCTGCTGGGAGGTTTGGAAGAGCTTGGGCCTCCAAGCAGCCTGGGTCTGCATCTCAGAGCTATGACTGCTTATTAAACAGGGGCCTTTCTGAACCGCTAACATCAATTGAGTCTTTACTCTGTGAAGATACCCCTTTCCCCTTTATCCCATTCACTCTTCCCCACAAATCTGCAAGGTCCCCCGTTTTACAGATGAGGAACGTGGAGCCCAGTGACTGGGAAGTGGAGCTGGCCAAGTTAATAAATGACAGAGTTGGATCCAACCCCAGGTTGGTCTGTGTGTTAATCAGCTTCCATCACCTGAGAAAAATTATCCAAGAAATGACTTCAAAGGCAGAAAGGCTTATTTTGGTTCACTATTCAGAGGCCTCAGTGTGTGGCTGACTTCATTGCTAGGGGTCCAGGGAGAGGCTGAATGTCATGCAGGAGGCTGCTCACCTCCTAACAGACAGGGAGGAAGGGAGGGAGGGAGGGAAAGAGAGAGGTTGAATATATTCAAGCTACCTACTTCTTCCCAATAGGCTCCCATCTCTTAATAATCCATGCAGTTATCACTCCATCAGTGGATTGAGCCACTGACGAAATTGAGCTCCATAATCCAATCACCTCTCATCATATTTGACCAAGTAAATATGAACCAAAATTACCTGGAAAAAAAAAAAAGCCATACCCGTGCTAAAGATTGTGACTGATTAGAACTTCCTGACTAGAGAGTTGGAATGGTGCAGATTCAGAGCCAAATTATTTTGGGCTATCTTGAGCCCCCCTTAATAGCCTTTCACCGTCCACCTCTGTGTCTGATCTAGTATCCTTGCGATTGTCAGGTAATTCCTTTTGTAATGTAGTCACTGATCACAGTTTTTATCAACCCAAAAGTCAAGAATATTATCAGCTAGTATCTGAGACATGTGGCGGAGGGTTCCTCCTTGTGTTACCTGACGTTCACAACAACGCGTTTGAAAAGTGCCTTGATTTATGACTTTCTTTTGTTCTGTCACTATGAAAACTCACGAAACCATGAGAGCGCGCTCTCTCCTCTCTCTCTCTCTCTCTCTCTCTCTCTCTTTCTCTCTCGGTCAGAAATCAACATAGAGTGTCTTCCTCAATCACTTCCCATCTTCTTTTTCAAGGTAGGGTCTTTCACTGAACCTGTGCTCACAGATTCAGCTAGGACGAGGCTGACGTCTACCCAGCAAGCCTTAACCATCTTCCTGTCTGTCTCTTCCAGGCACTGGGATTATAGAAATGCCTGCCACACCCCGGGGGTGCAAACTCCGGTCCTTATGCTTGACACATAGCATGTACTCTACAGGTTGAGTCATCTCCCCCGCCTCAAAACCTGTTTGTTTGTTTTTTTTGTGTATGTGTGTGTGTGTGTCGCCAACTTTAATACATAAGTCTGGGGGACATTTCACAGCCAAACCACAACAGTTTGCTTTCTGGGCCAGACTACCAACGGTTTCCCTCTGCTGCCCTCATACCCCACGGTGATCTGACTCCTGGGGTCAGGAGCTGCGCTGGAGTCCATGCCCCATCAGGTCAGTGGCCACACTGTGAGAAACAATGCCTTACATACAACAATGGTTCATCACCTGGCTTTAAATTAGAATTAGGAGAAGTTTCCAGAATGAGGCAAACTTCCCTTTTTCATTCCATCCAGACAAAGAGGTGGAGGTGGGGGGTGGTGGCAGGTTTTTCTTTCTTGAAAGTAAGACAATGTGTTCATTTACTTGGTCGTTCAAGCAATCAAAAATGTGTGAGTGCCTACTCTGTACCCTGCCCTGCACTGGCACTGCAGACACAAAGGTGGGTGGGACCCCATGTTTGCTCTCCTGGGGCACAGGTGACCTACCCTGCTGGGCGGAGCTGCTCTTGGTGGGGGAAGGGAGGCCACAGTTCCTCCTGCTGACTGAACTCTGGAAAGAACCAGTGTGTGTTTTTCTTAAATGATGCCACCATGGGACCTCTCCTCTCCTCCAGACAGAACTCCCTTTGTTTCAGACCCCAAACTGGGCATATAGAATTGCCAACTGCCAGAGCTAGACAGGCTCTGAGAAATGAGCCGTGTCCAAAGCACTTAAACTTCAGTGAGTAGATATGCCAGGGATCATGTTCAATCTGAAGATACCAGGAGCCCACCCCCAAAGTTAAAATGTGTGGGTTAAGGGGGCCCCAGGGACACACGTTTTATAAAAGCTCTGAAGTGGCCTGGTGCTCACTCACCTATGGTCTTCAGTCCTGACTATACCTGAGGAGGTCCTGGACTGGGTGTCTCACAAGTATGGCTGTCTAGACTGCATGCCTGGAATGCCTGTCAGTATTAAAGTTCCTTGTGGTGGCTGATACCCATAATCCCAACACTCAGGAGGTAGAGGCAGAACAATCCAAGTTTGAGGCTAGCCTGGGCAACATAGCATGTTTCAGGCCAGCCAGGGCTACAGAACAAGAGTCTGTCTTAAAAAACTACAAGATGGGGCTGGTGAGATGGATCAGGAGGTAAAGATATTTGCTGCCACGCCTGGTGACCTGAGTTCAATCCCTGGGACCTACAGGGTGGAAGAGAGAAATGACTTCTGTAAATTGCCCTCTGACGTCTACTTTTGCACCACGGCATGCACCTCTATGCCCAAATAAATACATATAAATATATTTCTAAAAAGCTACAAATAACACCTGTAGGACCCCGTTTTGCCTCAGGGTGAGACTCCTGATGCAAGGAGTCTAGCTCTTCCACCTTGCCTTGTATAGGAGTTAAAAAGGCAGTTTTAGCTACTGCATCCCACCATGAAGACTTTGAAACAAAAGGAGGGGAAAGTAAGAGAAGGGAGAGGAAAAATCAAGATACCGAGAAGGTCTGGAAAGGGGATGCACGAGAGAAGACTGGGTGAGGAGCTCCTGCTGACAACACCTTGAGGCTTGTATCCCCCCTTTTCAACTTCTTTCCTTAGAACCATTATTATCAGATCTAAATAAATCACTGGATGCGTAAGGGTTTTTTCTATGGCCTCCACAGGCATCGTACACACATGGTGCACATACATACATGCAGACAAAACACTCATAATACACATAAAATAAAAATAAATGAAAAACTATATGCTAATATGCCACATTTAAAATTACATCTACCTACTTATATATTTGCTTATTTTTGCTTTTTTGAGGCAGGGACTCACTCCATAGCCCTGGCTTGTCAGAAATTTACTATGTAGACCAGACTGACCTAGAACTCACAGAGTTCTGCCTGCTTCTGCCTCCTGAATACTGGGATTAAGGCTGTGTCACCACACTGGTCATCTATTTCTCCATCATCTATCTATCTATCTATCATATCTGTTATCTGTCTGTCTATCTACCTATCATCTATCTATCTAAATCTGTCTGTCTGTCTATCATCTATCTATCTATATTTCATCTATCATCTATCTTTTATCTATCCTATCTATCATCAATCATCGATCATCTATCATCTATCTACTTCTCATTTATCATCTATCATCTATCTTCTATCAATCATCTATATTTCATCTATCTATCTATCTACATCTATCATCTATCTATATATCATCTATCTATCTGTCTATCTTCTATCTATCTGTTTTTTGTGTATGCATGTGTATATGTGTGTATGCATGTGTTCAAGCACATGTACATAAGTATGTGGGCCAGTGTGCCACAGTGTGTTTATGGAGGTCAGAGGACAACTTGTGGGACTTGGTTCTCTCCTTCCACTGAGTGAGTCCTGGGGATGAAAATCAGGTTGTCTGGCTTGGCAACAGTTGCCTTTATCCACTGAGCCATCTTGCTGGCCCCAAGATTCTGTTTCTGAAGTAAGTGCCAAACTCATGCTGTATTTTGAGGACACGTGAGTGGAGCGACAGAGACCACCTTCCCCAGTGTGCCTTCTTACATCTGTTCACCTCGCCCACTCCCCCAGGTCAGAAGTGTCTCCTCCCACTTGACAGCCTTGGAGGCCATGTGCTCACACAAACAGGTTACACCATGCCCTCAAAGTCACCAGCAGGGTTTTATTTATGTAGGTGTCAGAAAGTGTCCCCCTCTTTCCCATTTCTGAGGAGAGTGACCATGTTGAGTATGTCCCAGTTCCAAAGCCAGCCCCTCAGCCACCTTCCATACTCTAGTGTCTTGGTTGCCCTTCTCTGAGAGTCAAGGCTGGTAGGCTGGACACAGGCTGTCCCTCCACAGGCGGTAGGTGATGGCGGCGGTCACAGTGAGCCAGGCCAGGTAGGGCAGCAGGAGAATGGCAGCTAGCTTGTTGATCGGCTGCCAGATAAGCACCATGCTTACTACCAGCCCGTAGAGCAGAAGTAGGTCCAACAGAGCCTGGACAGAGAGATGGGAAAGCATTGGCATGCTGCCCAAGAGCCAGGACCCTCTGCCTTGCTATATAGTACCCTGACCCAACAGATCCAGGCTCTGAGGCGCTGTGCACACTATGGGAACCCCAAGGAAATGCCTGCCTGTCCCCTGATCTGAGCTATCTGATCTGGGCCTTCTTCTTCAATACTTCAATACTTCCAGCTTGGAGCACGGCGTGCCTTACCAGTCCAGGGTTGTCGGCGGCCAAGAAGAGCGTGAGAACGGTCCAGCTGAGGGTGAGCTGGAGGGTGTAGAGGCCGAGGGGCAGCGCCAGGGGCCACCTGAAGCCCCCTCCCAGGTCCTTCCACACAAGGTAGGAAGCATAGCTGTGGAGAGAGGGTGTGCCATGGATGGAGAAGGCCTCTTGGCTGTCAAGAGGGACCCTATGACTGACATGTGGGTAGGTGGGTGCAAGCATCACTGAGGACCACGGGAGATGGCTCAGCAGTTAAGAGTGTTTCCAAAAGCCTAGAGTTGGTTCCCAGCACTCAAGTCAGGCAGCTCACAGGTGCTTGTAAGTTCAACTCCAGAGGATCCAAGGCCAGATACCCTCTTCTGGCCTCTGTGGCACTGTATGTATATGTACACACCACCCCTATAACACATAAATCTTTTTAAAAACTTTACTATTTTTAAAAGTTTTCTGTTTATTTTTATTTTTAATTGTGTATAAGTATATGTGTGTGTGTGTGTGTGTGTGTGTCTGTGTGTGTGTGTGTCTGTGTGTGTGTGTGTCTGTGTGTATGTGCATGTGAATGCAGGTACCCTTAAAAGCCAGAGGTGTCAGATCTCCTAGGAGCTGGAGTTATAGATAGTTGTGAGCCACCTGATGTGGTCCCTAGGAACTGAACTCAGGACCTGGAAGAGCGCACATTCTCTTAACTGCTGAGCCACCTCTTCAGCCTTTTTCATTTATTTTCATTCTTTTTGCAAAAAATATTTTATTTTTATTCTTATTTTATGTGTCTGAGAGTTTTGCCTGTATGTATGTAAAGTGCACCATGTGCATGCAATGCCTGCAGAGCCCAGAAGAGGGCATTGGATCCCCTGGAACTGAAGTTAGGGACAGTTGCTAACCACTATATGGGTGCTAGGAACTGAACCCGAGTCCTCTGCAAGAACAGCCAGTGCCCTTAACTCCTGAGCCATCTCTCCAGCCCCAGGAAAAATAAAATAAATCTTGAGAGCTAAGGGAAGAGCTGGTGGGAGGAGTTGGGCATGATAGAGGTGAGGGGTAGGAGACTTAGAGAGAGCCAAGTGCAGGGCTGGTAGGAATTCTAGAGGGCTTCTGTCTGTGGGATCTGACCTGAAGACAAAAGATGGGGTACATCTCTTTAGAGGCCAGTATGCAGCACAAACTCACATACAGGGGGACTCCCTTCCACCCCAGCAGGCATCAAGGCCATATGTGGGGAACATACTTACCCCACGACTGAGTAGATGGTTGTCCACACCAGCAATATGACCTTGTGGGGAGGGCACCAGGGCAGTTTCCTTTGGTCTTCACACCAACCAGATATCTGATTGTGAGTGAACATCCAAATCAGGATGGGCCCCACGAGGGGCACACCAACAAAGACGGGCCCTTGAAGCCTCATTCACTTCAGACAGGCAAAATCTGGGGAGGCAGAGAGCACCGTGGTGATAAATCGTCTCTAGTTCTTTTCCTGGGCCTCCCAACCTGACACTGTACTGTGGAAGGAGCCTCTCATTGGTCATGGAGGACCCCCTCCCACCTTGGGCCTGGCTCTATTCCTGATCCCCCAAACCATCTCCAGCCCAGTCCCACTGTCCTGCCCATTGCTGGGGAGAGAAGATTCTTCCATGGAACTTCCTGCAAGTTGGACAGGGAGCTCCAGGAGTGCAGCTTTTGTGAGTTGTCACCCATGCCTCTTGGTGGACCTTTCAGGGATGCAGCCGCCTTTGAGTTCCCCATGCTTCTTTAAGTAACTCTGTATCTATTCTCCTGTAATAACCCCAGTAAATTCATTGGTTCACCAGACTAGATGTGGGTGGGATCATTTCTTTGCTCTGCTGTGAGTCCCCTTTTGGGGGTGGGGTGAATAAACATTTGTTTACATCTCCCCAGGAGAAGTCACACAACAACCATGTTGTGAAGGCGGTAGGGGCCAGGGATTTTTGGACCAATTATAATCCTCAACGGGCCAGCTCATCTACCATAGTCTTATCTTACTAGACCATACTGGTATACTTCAGGGACCCACCCAGGCTGATCTGCCTAACTTCAGACACAACTGACTCTATGGGTCTGCTTCTCAGAACCTTTTACTCTCGACTGCTCCTGGAACCTTAGGGATGGTCCCCTCACCTCCCCATCTCTCCATTTCTACAGGGCTGCGAACACAAGTGTCCAGATTTCTTGTGTCCTGATTCTCAAGGACATAACCACCTGGTCTTTGTTTTTAAAAGTTGTCATTCTCATTTGCATATTTATTTGCACGTGGGCCAATATATAGATCCTCTACCAGTCTAGTATAATCCAGCATCATCCAGCCAGTATAATTCTCCATCTCATGCTAGTTCAGCCTCCACATAATCAATGGAGCTTGAAGGAGAAAAAAACTGATTATTTTCAGTGTTCTAGAATGAATGAGGGAGACCATCAAGAGATACCCGGGACAGGGCTGAGCTGCATGTCTGTCTGTATCTTTCCATTTGTCTTTTTCTACTTCTTTCTGGTTGCTTAGCTGTCTTCCCATTGCTCTGTGTCAACCGTTCCTATTTTTCTGTCCAGTGCTGCAGTCCCTTCGCCGACCACACCCATCCTCCTTTCTCCTGTTACCCACGACTCCCAGTGCCTCCTGTTCCCAGGCTCTCTTTACTCACCTCAGGCGCACACCTCCCAGACTGGGTGCCTGATGACAGAAAACGTATACAAGTAAGAGGAGGGTGGGGGACAGCAAAGGGGTGGAGCAGGGCTCCTGGCTGCTCTGTCTTTCTCAGATGACAAGGGTGGTGGCGTTGTTGGGGGAGTTCAGGTTGCTGTTTGCATAGCTCTTAAGAGTCCCCTTGGTTCACTAGAATCTTTGTGTGAATGAGTGTGTGTCTGTGTGATGTTAAAAAGTGAATGAACCCAGGGCCTCATGCCTGCAAGGCAACCACTCTACCACTGAGCTATAATCCCCAACCCTGCCAGATCCCTCTTGATGCCTGGTCTTTGGAGGGAGCCTGTTGTTAGACTAGTTCAGAGTTTGACAATGAGATCTGGACCTTCTGTAACAGCCCAGCCTGGAGCTACAATTCCACTGATGCTCATGGTCTTTGGATCCTGTGACTCAACTCTGCGTCCATGCATGTGTTAGGGGCCCTCAGATCTCCCTAGAGCCTGCCTGGAACCAGACTGTCTCCAAGTGAGGCAAGTACCAGCTTTGGAAATGAGTTCATGATCCATGAACACCGTCTCTGATTACAGCCACCTGGTTGGTATGTCTGTGCCTGACTGGGAACTGAAACTTGGCATATCTTTCCCAACTCCCCGTCCCCCCACCCCAGCACTCTGTGTCTGAGATGAAAGCAGCAGGCAGTGGAGGTGGGTGGGGAATCTCGGAAGGAGGGACCTGGCGCTTCCCGCTTCCCGGCAGAGTCCTGCCTCCCAGTCACTCTGAAAGAGGAGCAGGGGGCAGGGTCCTAGTCTGCTGGCAAAGTCCAGGCTTCAGTGTGACTCAGACAGGGCTTTGTCCAACAAAGACAGATACCTCCCCTCTTCGTTCCCTGTCAAAGTTCTTAGCACCCCTTCCTTGCTTGTCCTTTAGACACGAGGTCTCCTTACCAGGTTGGCCAAGTTCAACGTGTTTCTTTGTGACATCCAACTGGGGCTCCCTGGGGCGTTTAGCCCTCCCTCCCTCCTGGCTCTATCCAGGGACGCTAGCAGTGGGGAAGGGGGTGCAATGAGGGATTGGAAGTTAGAGAATCATTAAGTAAAAATGGAAAACAGAGGGAGCTCTGTGTGTGTGTGTGTGTGTGTGTGTGCACAGTACATATGTGCCTAGGTGTGTGTGTGTGTACACAGTGTATTTGTACCCATGTGTGTGTGTGTGCATAAGTGCATATGTGCCTGTGTGTGGGTATACACAAATGCATATGTGTCTTTGTGTGTGCACAAGTATGTATGTGCCTCTGTGTGTATGTACACAAGTGCATATGTGCCTATGTATGTATATGTGTGTGTATCTGTGCACAAGTGTGTATGTGCCTATGTGTGTATATCTACATGTGTGGGCCAAAGGACAACTTCTAGTGTTAGTTTTCTCTGGTGGACCCCACCTTTTATTTTTCTTTTTGAGACAGGCTCTCTCACTGGCCTGGAGCTCACCAAGTAGGCCACACTGGCTGGTCAGTAGGCCAGAGTTCTGCTGGTCCTCATCTCCCAGCTCGGTGATTACAAGTGGCTTTATGTGGATTCTGGTTCTTGAACTCAGGTCCTTGTGCGTGTGAGGCATCTTCCTAGCCCATGTTTTCTTTCTTTCTTTTAAAAGATTAAAGTTGTGTTTCAGAGGCAGGAGAGATGGCTCAGTGGTCAAGATCACTTACTGCTCGTCCAGAGGATGAGTTCAGTTCTTAGCACCCATGTCAGACAGCTCACAACCATCTGTAACTCTAGCTCCAGGGCATCTGATGTCTTCTGGTCTCTGCAAGCACCTGCACACACGTGCATAAACTTACACGGACACAAACAGAGACATGTAAATAAATCTTAAAGTTGTATTTTATTTTTGATTGGCACATAATAACCAGACATTTATTGACTATAATTTGATGTTTTGATACACGTATACATTTTGTAATGATCAAATCAAAGTAATTAGTATATTCATTTCCTCAAACATTTGTCATTTTTTAGTGGTAAGAATATTCAAAAATCCTCTTTTTCTAGAGATTTTGAAATACACAACGCACTATTGGTAATTAGGTACTTTGGTGTGCTGCTTTCACAGAACTCCAGACCTTGTTTCTCTCAAACTGTAACCTAGTACCTGTTGACCCATCTCTCCCCAGCCCCCTGCTCTGTACTTTTCCCAGGCTTTGAAATCTGATATTTACACACCCATGTCTATTGAAGCACTGTTCACAAGAACCACGATATACAATCCACTTAAGTGGATGACCCCAGGGCTGAGGAGACATCAGACAAGAGATGGGCTGTTCTCTCTCTCTCTCTCTCTCTCTCTCTCTCTCTCTCTCCACGGGTGCTCTCCCTAGAGACTCTCTCTCTCTCTCTCTCTCTCTCTCTCTCTCTCTCTGCAGGGGTGCTCATCCTAGTGACTCCATCGCTCCTAGGCTGGGCTCACATTAGGGATAGCACCACGTCCAGCTCATCCTCAAGGGCAGTGTCCTGTCAACTCTGAGTGGTTAGGGAGCAGATATGCTTCCCAATGTCACCAACTCCTTGTGAGACAGTAGCACTCTACCTGTGTGAGTTTCCAATGCAAGAGGGGCTGGAATCAATTCCTAAGTGACCTGGACTGGCTACACGGATCATCCAGAGGGTCCTTAAGCCCTGACCCAGACCTGTGGAATCAAAGTTTGCATTTGAACAAGATACCCTAGTGAGCCCCGTGCATGCCACAGGTCTGCTGAAGGGCTTCTTTCAGTTCCCTGCTCAGGTCTGCCATCCTAGCAGCCTAGGGACTGCTGCTCACCAGCAGAGGGCACTGTAGGGAGGCGTGTCCAGGTGCAAGATTTATACCTAGGCTGTCTCTCTTTCTCTTTCCTCTCTTCCACACTTGCCCTGGGAAGTTTGCTTACTTCTGGCATCCTCAGATACTCCCCTGCCTCAGCTGGACTTTGCTAATAGACAAAGAGACTCTCTAACACCCCTCTTCAGGGTGGTTGGGAGGCAGGAGGCTGCCAGGAAGTGGCAGGCCACACCTGGCTGCATTCCCCGCCCAAGTCCACTAGTGTGCTGGCCTGGGGACCAGGTCTGGCTGACCGCTCTTTCTCAGAGAATGAACTACGGCTCCTGGAGAAGGTCAGCAGCCTCTGAGAGCCATTAGACGGTAAGGTGAGCGTCCGCCGGGGTAGCAGCAAGGGGCTGAGCAGGGCTGTGGGGCCCAGGGGAAGAACTAGGCCAACTCAGCCCAGCCTATTAGCTTGTGGAGACCTTTCTCTTCTGTAAGAGAAAGGATAAGAAAGGGGCTTGAGAAGGGTCACTGCTGGCTCGTGTGAGGAGCAGGGAGATGATTCTATGAACTGTGGGAATGTATATTATGCTCATAAATACTGACTCTGAACACAGTGTGGCCTCATCCATCCTGTTTTGTTGTGTTTTGGTTTGGTTTGGTTTGGTTCCTGGTACTGGGGGTTGAACCTAGAATCTTGCACATGCTAGGCAAGTGTACTATTACTGAGCTACGTCCCCAAGCCTCTTTTTACTTTACTTTAAAAAAATTATTATTTTTATGTGTATGAGTGTATTACCTGCATGCATGTAAGTGCTCCTGTGTCATGCAATGCCCACAGAAATCAGAAGAGAGGATTGGATTCCCCTGGAACTGGAGTTATGAAGAGTTGTTATGAGCTGCCATGTGGGTGCTGGGAATTCAACCTTGGTCCTCTGCAGGAGCAATCAGTGCTCTTAACCACTGACCCATCTCTCTAGCCCCTACTTTTCATTTTAAGACAGGTTCTCACTAAGTTGTCCAAGCTGGCTTTGAACTCACTCTGTAAACTTGGGTGGGCCTTGAACTTGTGATCCTCCTCCCTCAGTCTCCTAAACAGCTGGGATTATGGGTTGGAACCACTAAGCCCAGCTCATGCTGGTACTTTTAATGTCCTATAATAGCACCCAGAGATCTATCCGCTGTTGTGGAAGAGTGATAAGATCCAGTAAGGTGGGGAGAGCTGAATGTCTAAAGGGTATCAACAGAACTTCGTAGCGGGAGTCTGGATCTTTGTACTGGGAAACAGGTGGTGGCAACATTCTAAGAGCTCTTGTTTTGAGAAAATGCTACCCAGAATGCTCTCGGCTCTGGGGCAAGACAAGCTGGAGGAATAGGTTCTGAGGAGTCAGGTATGTGCAGTGCTATAGACTATTCCATAAAACCTAAGATCCCTTCCCTTCTTAGGACCGGGGGGACAATGAAGTGAGGGTCATGGCAGCCTAGAAAAGCTGTCAGCTGGGCCTCAGGGCTGAGCTGGGGGAGGGGATTAAGCTACTTCTTGCCAAATAAATGAATGGGCTCCCTTGAGAGGCCAGGGGGGCCCTGAGAGTGCTACATATCAATCTCTCCAGGTCGGGAGGCTGAGTGAGGGGACAGGCCCACTGGGGTGAAGCAGGTTTGGACTCTAGGCTTTGGAGGCCTGGGAAGGTCGTTGCTATAGAAACAGAGTAGTTCCCCTCCTTTCATTCCCTTTAGTTAGCCCATTCCTGCCACTAGAACCTTGGTGAGCAGGGGGTGAAAGCCACCGCTTGCCTTGGAACCCAGGGCATAGTTTTAGTTCCTCATCCTCTTCTTTCTCTTCCTGTTCTCTTCCTCTTCCTCATCCTCCTGGTTTTCCTTCTCCTTCTCCATTTCCCCTCCCTTTCTTTCCCTCCCTCCCTCCCTTCCTTCCTTTCTACGTGGCCTTAAACTCTGAGTCTTCCTGCCTCAGCCTCCCAAGTGCTGCTACTGGCAGAATCACCTTTCTTCATTTCAGGCTCCTTTCTCATTCCACTTTGTCCCCTCCAGAACAGGGGATGAAGAGACATGGGAACAAGGAGGCATAGGATGTGTAGGGGTGACCAAAGTCCCCTCCCACACATCTTTCCTTTGTGTCTTCAGTTGTTGCTTAATAACCCTCCCTTTATCCATGTAGTGGGGAAGAAACTCAGCTACTTTATCTGTGAAACAGACACACGTGACACTAACTCAGAACGAGGTTTGTGTGAGGATAACAGACAAGCCATCTAGAGTGCTTTAGCCTGTGGTGCAGAGTAAAGCTTTATATGCCGTAGCAACTACCATCACAATATTTTTTCCTAAGTGGGTGGAGCCAACACAATGACTAGTCTTTATTAGAGAGAAGACACTTTCTTTTTAAAAAAAAATATTTCATTTATTTTTATTTTATGTGTATGAGTGCATTGCCTACACATATGTGAGTGCACCCGTGTCATGCAATGCCATGGAGGTCAGAAGAGGGCTTCGGATTCCTCTGGAACTGGAGTTAAGAATGGTTTGTAGCCGCCATGTGGGTGCTGGGAATCGAACCCGGGTCCTCTGCAAGAGCAGTCAGTGCTCTTAACCGCAGAGCCATCTCTCCAGCCCCAAGAGAAGACACTTTCTATCACATTCTGAGAAGTTAATGCAGGGGCTCAGTGGGCCAGCTGGTGGGGCACCAGCTTCCAGAGTTTGGGCATCGTTGAATGTCACCTTTGTGCAGCCAGACCCAGATGACGGTACAGTCACTGACGTAGCCCACTATTCGCTTGTTGGTAATGGATGGGACCACATTAGGATCTTCCTTGGTGCCTAAAGCTGCCGTTGGGGGAGGGTCGCATAGTTTATGGGTCCAGTCCCTTCTGTGAAGTAATCATGATCTCCCTCCCCAGCCCAGCCTACTCCTCATCAGTAGGAATACCACCTCCAGAAGACGTGGAGCGTGCTGTGGCCATGCCGCAGGGCCCACCGTCCCTCAAAGCCTGCCTGCACCCGCTCTGCACCGTCACCTTGAAGCCACCTCACTTGCACCCATGACAGTTATAATAGCTCTATTAATGTGGAAGAGCCAAAAGGAACAGAGAAGGCAAACAGGGCAACTTGCTCTTGCAATAAACTTGGCTTCCCGCTACCACTAACTTGCCTGATGCCCCTGCTGCCTTGCAGGTGACCTGATTGAAGAAGGCAGGGGCTCTGGCCTCCAGGTTGGGTTTTAAGGCAAAAGGAACAGTGTCACATCTCCTGTTCACATCTTGAGTGGACAAAGGGGGAACAGGCCGTGCCTGGATCTTCAGTGGTACCTAGCCGAGGACCACCTGGCCCTGTCTGGAAGGAGCTGGGAAGGGACTGTAGCCTTTGTGGATCTTCAGGAAGGGAAGAAGTTCTAGGTGGTTGGTGGAGAGAAAGAGTGGGAGGAGTGGATGCTGGGAGCTCTGCCGGTGCAGACTCAGTGAGTTAACCAGAGGGGCCTCTTTTGAAGGAGGAGATTGTTAGAATCCAGCTGCTAAGCGAAGGAATCACATTCTGGCAGTTTTGAAGCCTCCCTTGGTGCCTCATAGACAGTTGGTGCTCAGTAAGTGCTCATTTCAATGAGAAAACTAGCGTGATGGTGTGAGAACTGCTCAAGCAGGGGTAGAGAGACTGTAACCAGCAGGATCTGGCCAAGGACTGGGATGCCACCAGGAGACACTACTGAACTGGGGTGGGACCAGGTGGGAGAAAGAGCAATGTGAGAAAGCCCAAGGCTAGACTATACAGGGTGCTGGGGAGCCCAGTCTAGACTATGGGGGTGTTAGAAATTAGTACAACTCAGGCCAGGCGTGGTGGCGCACGCCTGTAGTCCTAGTACTTGGGAGGCAGAGGCAGGTGGATCTGTGTGAGTTCAAGGCCAGCCTGGTCTACATAGTGAGTTCCAGGCAAGCTGGGGCTACAGGGAGACCCTGTGTCAAAAAGACAAAAAAAAAAAAAGATTAAAAAACACCCAGAAATTAGCACAACTCAAAGAGGAGATAGAAGGGGGTAGAAACAGATGCAGGAAAAGCTGACATTTGTACTAGAGGCTGCTGGAAAGCTCCAGAATTTCAGTGGCCAGCACCAGGTAACCAGGGGAACTGGTAGTGTGTGCTTTGCCCTGCCTCACTCCAGCCTCCCTGTAAGCCCCCACCCTGTTTTTGTTCTTCTTTTTCTTTCTCCCTTGTTGTTTCCTCTTTTAACTTTGTTGCTTGTGTTGTATTGTGGGTATCCCATGAGCTACCTTCGGACCTTTCTGGCATGCCTGCATGTACAGGGCGGAGGATAGGAATCATTGCAAAGAAGACTTAAAAAAAAATTTGTGTATGAGTGTATTGCCTGTATGGATGTAAGTGCACCTGTGTCATGAAATGCCCTATGGAGGTCAGAAGAGGGTGTCAGATTCCCCTGGAATTGGAGTTACAGATGGTTGTTAGCCACCATGTGGGTGTTGGGAATTGAACCTGAGTCCTCTGCAAGACCAGCCAGTGATCTTAACTCCTGAGGCAACTTTCCAGCCCAGAACACAGTTTTTAAAAACATTTAAAAAGTAATTTATTTTTAGTTTATGTGTATGAGTGTTCTGCCTCCAAGTATGTAAGTGTACCTGTGTCATGCAATGCCCACGGAGGCCAGAAGAGGGTGTCAGATCCCTTGGAACTGGAGTTACCCATGTTGTTAGCTGCCATGTGGGTGCTGGGAACTGAACTGGGGTCCTCTACAAGAACAATCAGTGCTCTTAACTACTGAACCATCTCACCAGCCCTAGAAGCCAAGTTTTGACTTCCACAAATGAAAAAGACAGCCTGACTCTACTGGTCCTAACCTCTTTTCCCCTCAGGCCCCTGGCCTTGGCTGGTGCAGGGGTGCAGCAGCGTTGAGTGACCAGGCGGATGTGCCCCCAGGAAAGTCCCACCCAACCCTTCCAGTTCCTCCTGCTGGTGGGGGTCCCAGTAGCCAGTGCCCTCCTTCTGGTTCAGTGCCTTCGATGGCACTGGTCTCGCTGGCTGCCAGGAACCTGCCGGAAGCCAGATGACCAAGAGGAGCCAGTGTCTCCACCCATCCCGTCACCAGAATATGAGGTCCCAAGGCAGTGCCCACCAGCTACACTGCCAGAGGTGGCTGCCTTCTACCAGGAGCTCCACACACCCACCTGGGGCCAGACCATCACCCGCCAGCTGATGCATAAGCTGCTGGTGTTTTCTGCTCGAGAGGTGGATCACCGAGGTGGCTGCCTGATGCTGCAAGACACAGGCATTTCCCTGCTCATTCCACCAGGTAACCATTCCCCCACACAAAGTCCTTCAGGCTGCAGGTTAGGGTACCACCTCTGAGCTCCAACCACGGACATCTTTGTAGTTTATTAACTCCAAGGATGGACATACCACAGGGACAACTTCCTGGTAGGGGGAGTTAAAGTGGTTTGTTCTAAAGATTTAGTATGCTATGACAGTTCTAGCAAAAGACAGAAGAGTGAGGTTTTCAAAGCCACACACGGCAGAGCACAGAGTAACTGTGGCCCTGGAAGGAAGCAGATGACTGCGTTAGGATCGCTCCTCAAGTTAGTTCACAGTGTTCTTGTTCTCATTCCATTGCTCTGTCCTGGGCTTTGGATTCTGATTCCCTGCCCACTCAGGTGGCCTCTTTTAAGGGACAGACTGTTCCTACTTGCTAGACCCATCTCAGCCCTCTGTCTCCCCAGGTGCTGTGGCAGTGGGTCGCCAGGAGAAGGTGTCTTTGATCCTGGTGTGGGACCTAACAGATGCCCCATCACTGTCTCAGGCTCAGGGACTAGTGAGTCCTGTGGTGGCATGTGGCCCTCACGGGGCCTCCTTCCTGAAGCCCTGCACCCTCACATTCAAGCACTGTGCCCAGCAGCCCAGCCAGGCCCGCACCTACTGCAGCAACACTCCCCTGCTGGATGCCAAGAACTGGAGACCCCTGGGACGGCGGGGGGCCCACACTTCCAGGGATGAATGTCGTATCCTTCTCTCTCACTTCAGGTAGGCACATGCCAGATGGTCTGTCCTCCTTCCCCTTGTCTCTGGCACTGTCCTTCCTGACTCTTCTTTCTGTCTGCATCCTCTCTGTCTCTGTGTATGGAACTGCCCCTTTATCTACCCAGGATGCTTTGCCAGTACCTTAGGACTCTGTCCTTCTCTGGGCCTTCTGTTCTAATATCCTTTTATCCAAAACCTTCTCTAAGGACTGGAGGGATGGCTCAGCAGTTAAGAACACTGGCTGCTTTTCCAGAGGATCTGGGATTGGTTCCCTGGACCCACATGGCAGCTTACAACCAATCTTAAATTCAGTTCCAAGGGATCTGGTGCCCCCTTCTGGTCTCCTCGGGCATTGCACACGTGGTGGACAGATAAAACACTCCTACATAAAATTAAAACAAAGTGAAAATAATTCTCTCTAGGACTGTCCTAGACATAGTGTCCTACGCTGTGTCTCCATCGCTCTGGAGACGCCTGATTCAACTCATCCCTCTGACTATCAGGTGTGTCTTATCCTGTAGCCCACAGGCCTCATGAATCCAAAGATAGATATTAATGTGGCCCAACACCAAATCACAGACTTACTTAAAACTTTATGAGATTTCTTTCAGAAACTCAATTGCATTTTTTTAAAAAAATTTAAATTTATTTTTTATATTTTATGTGTATGTGTGTATTGCCTGCATGTAGGTAAGTGCACCCGTGTCGTGCAATGCCCTCGGAGGCTGTCAAATCCCCTGGGACTGGAGTTATGATATGGACAGCTGTTAGCTGCCATGTGGGTGCTGGGATTAGATCCCAGGTCATCTGCAAGAACAAACAGTGTTCTTAACTGCTGAGCCAACTCTCCAGCCCCATATGGTTCTTTTTTTAAAATATTATTTTAAGGTGTGTGTGTGTGTGTGTGTGTGTGTGTGTGTGGTGGTGATACACACACATGAGTGCAGATGCCTGCAGAGGCCAGAAAAGGGCATCAGATTCCCTGGTGTTGGAGTTACAGGTGGTTGTGAGTCACTGGATATGAGTGATGGGAACAGAATTTGGGTCCTTTGCAAGAACAGCAAGTGTTCTTAACTGCAGAGCCATCTCTCCAGCCCCTATTGCATGGTTTTTGAATGTGATCCTTTGTAGATGACAACATTGTGTTTCAATGTCAGAAGGCTGGACTCACCTGTGGGGAGTTTGTCTCACCCCCAGCTCTGTCTCTCTCTAGCCTCTTCTTTCTACCACTGCCTCTCTTCAGAACTGTCCCTAAACCCTCAAGGGCGATTTGTCCCCTCTAGGTTCAAGGCACATCTGTCCTTCTCCAAATTTCTAGAAATTTAGGCCCTCTGCCTCCAAGTCTTCTTACCACCCATTGGTCAGAGCAGGGCCATATGGGGGACCCTCCTCCCGTCTTGGGGAACCCAAGGCTGCCTTGTCTCCACTGCCAGAGAACACAAGCTGGCTCTCCTCTCCAGGAGGTGATCGTCACTATATTAGTTGCTTTCTTTGTTGCTGTGACAAAATGCCTGACAAAGAACTTTAAGAAGGAAGGGTTTATTTTGGCTCACAGTGCAAAGGTACCTTAATCAGGTGGGGAAAGCATGTGGTGGGGGAACATGAGGTGGCCAGTTACATCTGCAGCCAGGAAGCAGAGAGAGATGAATCCTGCCTCTCTGCTCCCTTTTTCCTTTTTGATCTTTTTGAGACAGGGTCTCCCTGTAGCCCCACCTGGCCTGGAACTTGCTATGTAGACCAGGCTGGCCTTGATCTCACAGAGATCCACACACCCCTTCCTCCTGTTTAAAGGTTTGCACCACCATGCCTGGCACTATTTGCTTTTAATTCAGTTCAGGAGTCCAGCCCATGGAATGGTGCCACCATCAGTTGGAGTGAGTCTTTCCACCTCAGCTAACAGCTAACCCAATCTACAAGCTTCCTCATAGGCATGCCCAGACATTTGCCTCCTGGGTGACTTTAGATTCTGCCAAGTTGACAGTATTAACATCAAAGTGTGCTCATGTTTTGACCCTTTAGTCACTGTATCCCCCACCTGGTCCTCCTTCTGTGACTATCTGGGGTGCTCTCCTCACCCACATAGAAGCTGTTCAGATGACAAAAGCCTTTAGGCACACTGGGGGTCTCAGTATCCCTGGTGCCCATGGATGTGACTCTACCACCATCTCTCCGCAGTCTCTACACCTGTGTGCTGGAGGTGCCCCTGGGCCAGACAGCCCGAAAGTGGCTACAGCTGGCTGTGTTCTGCTCCCCACTGACACCGGGGCAGACCCACCTGCAGCTTCGTGTGTACTTCCTGAACAATACGCCCTGCGCCTTGCAGTGGGCCATCACCAATGAACAGCCCCACGGTGGGCGCCTGCGTGGGCCTTGCCAGCTCTTCGACTTCACAGGAGCCAGAGGTGACCAGTGCCTGACGCTCAAGTACATCTCTGAGGGTGAGCGAGGCAGGTGCAGGGAACCAAGAAATAGGGAGCGCCATGAGAGAGAGGCTTCCGGTCCTCCCTGTCAAACAGGACATCCAGAAGCCCTAAGTTTCTTTGCTGGACTCTTGGGCTCCCAGCCGCTTCGAGGGAGACTTTCTGGCATTGTCTATTTCCCTCTGCTGCCTGCTCAGCCCTTGTTGGTCACCTCAAGGCAGAGAGATGCCTGGCGGAAGGGCGGAAGTGAGGGGGAACTCCGATTGGGGATGGGATTCTGAGTTTCTCTCCCTTGGGTCTTCTTCAGGTAGGTGTTGTTTGTGTGGTTGTGGACAGGCACACTTCTAGGGGGCACAGGGCTGCTTCTGGAGGTGGAGTAGGGGATGGGAGGTTACAGGGAGGCTGTGGGGTTATGTGTGTGAGAGGGAAACACAGAAACAGGCATAGAATCAAGGCTGCTGAGGAGTATCCATTCAAGCTCTGGAGAGTCCCACCACATGAGGCCCTCCTGTCTTAAGTCTTCCTTACGCCTCCCCACAGCCTCCTTAAAGGCCTACCCTCTGAGTCCCTCTGCTCTGTCCTTTCCTCAGGTTGGGAGAATGTGGATGAGAGCAGTTGCCAGTTGGTTCCCCATCTCCACATCTGGCACGGAAAGTGTCCCTTCCGCTCTTTCTGCTTCCGGAGAAAGGCAGGTATGCCAGGGGCCCTGAGGTCACGTCCTGCCTTCCCTCATCCCCTCCCTCCCAGTCACCTCACTCTGCAGCCCCACATTCCACTGTATGTGTGTAGGGTTTCTCTTAAAAGCAAGGAGCCAAAACAGGTCTTTTGTGGAGCTGCTGCTGCTTCTTCAGAGCCCCATAGCCTTCCCGGAGCATCCCTGGATGTCTCCTGGGCTCCTTTTCTCTCTCACCTGTTACTTTCTCTTTGTAGCCAATGAGAGTGAGGACTGCTCGGCAATAACCAATGAGATCATCGTCACCATGCATACCTTCCAGGATGTGAGTCGTGCAGAGACACAGAGGGAGGGCAGGGCAGGGCCCCAGGGGAGACCTGGGCAAGGGAGAAGGGCCTTCCGTGCCGTAAGGTCCTAATTACTCAATGAAAGAGCCAAAGATGGCATTTGTTAGAGAGCCACCATACTAGATCTTTGAGGGACTTAGAGCAGCTCACCTCCAAGTTCCCCTCCATCTTTGAGTCTTTTCTATGGATAGATGAATGCATCAGAAGGTTCAAAGAACCAAACTCCTAGATGAACTCCTTTCCCCCAACCCAGGGCAACCAGGACATCAAGGAGACTTGGCCTCTTCTGAACTGACTGTCTCCATCTGAGAGAGGATGTAGTGTGTCTTCAGTGGGGGTGGCTAGGAAAGAGGTCCTGAGCAAGTGGCATGGGAGTTAGGTACTCCCCCTCCCTTCCACAGCATCAGGGAAGAGTTGAACTCAGGCTTGAGAGTCTTTGGGAAACCCAAGTGGCTTCTTGGAGGATGGGGGTGGATACCCACACACTGTCATTTGGGGAGGAAAGTTGAGGTGGAGAGAAGTGGGTACCAGAGCCTGAGAGCAGTTTCTCTGTTACTGGGTGATATCTCCATGTCCCACAACTTTTGGTAGCTTAGGACACATCTCATATGGTTTTTATTGTTCTCACCCTCAAAGAGCTCACTGGCCAAAGCTAAGGCTGAATGTGGTGTTCTGGAGTCGGAGAGGCAGAGGGTAGAGGTGCTGAGTGGGGTAGGGGTTATATTTTCTGGTGAAGTGGCTCTGTGTATCCAGCTGAAGGAGAGTCATGAAGAATGGAGATGGGCCCCAGCTTCTTCATCAGGGAGGAGTGTCTTATGACCCGTGAGTGTGTTCCTTCCTTCTCTGTGATTCAGGGCTTGGAAACCAAGTACATGGAAATTCTCAGATTTCAGGCATCAGAGGAGGAGTCCTGGGCAGCCCCACCTCCTGTCACACAGCCACCGCCATGCAATAGGTGAGGTGAAGGTGGCCTGGTTCCTGCCTGGGGATGTTTGACATTCTTGCCCTGGTACCCACAGACCTAGTATAGCATTTGGGGTGGGAAGAATAGGAGAGTGGCTGGGTCTCTTTCTATGTGTTCATGCGTGTGTGTGTGTGTGTGTGTGTGTGTGCACGTGCACAGAGGTCAAAGGTGAACAATAGGTGTCCTTCCTCAGGAGATATCACTTTGGTTTTGAGACAAAGTCTCTTACTAAGATTTGGGGCTCACCAATTAGGCTAGACTGGCTGGACAGCAATTACTAGGGATCTTCCTGTCTCTACCTCCCCAACCCTAAGATCCTAAGGTACCACACCAGACTGTTTGTTTGTGTGCTGGGGATTGAACTCAGGGTCTCATGACCATGTTGCAACTGACTGAGCTATTCTCCTATCCCTGAGTCGTGCTGATCTTTCCCTCCTATCCCCCTGCCTCAGGTTGCCCCCAGAGCTCTTTGAACAGCTTCAGATGTTACTGGAGCCCTACAGTGTCACTGGTAATGACTGGCGCAGACTAGCTTCCCATCTGGGGCTCTGTGGCATGAAAATCCGGTAAGAAGCATAAAGGCTACCATGGAAGTCAAGGGTGGACTGGAGTGTGTGTGTGTGTGTGTGTGTGTGTATGTATGTATGTGGTGATCCTCAGGACATCCTGGGAACTGGACCACAGACAAGAGGGTGTCTTAAAAGTTAGAGAATAGCTACTCCCCATCTGAACTCCCCTGAAAGGGCAGCTCTTTGTGTTGATAGACCTTCAATATCTAGAGAAACTGTAACTAGACACTCAGGTCCATAAACTGGCCACTTGTATCTCCAAAGAAATCAGGAAACAGAAGTAGGTAAAATAAATAGATTGATTTACACTTTGGACAAACTGGGGAGAGAAAGAATCCAAATCTGTTGTTCTTCCCTGTCTGTGGCCTTCTTACAGTTTAACCGTGAGAGAGAGGCCAGAAGATAGGTTGTAAGACAGTTGTTAGTTTAACCAGTGTCCTAGTTTGTTTCTTCATTGCTGTGACAAAACACTCTGACCACTACCAACTTGGGGGGGGGGGTTATTTAGCTTACATCTCCCAGGTCACAGTTCATCAGGGAGCCCAAGGTAGGAACTCAGGGCAGGAACCTGGAGGCAGGAGCTGGGGCACAGGCCATGGAGGAATGCTGCTTTCAGGCTTGCTCCCTGGCCCCTGCTCAGCCTGCTTTCTTATGCAACACAGGCCCACTGCCCAGGGGTGGCACCACCCACAGTGGGCTGGGCCCTCCCACATTACTCATCAAGAAGATGCCCTCAGACATGGCCACAGGCCAGTCCAATAGAGGCAATTCCCCGACTGAGGCTCCCTCAACCCAGGTGTGTCAAGTTGACACTAAAGCTATCCAGCACAACCAGTCCCTCTCTGGTGTGTATGTGGGAGGTGACTTGGCCCCAGATTGCTCCTATTTGTCTCTGTTATCTGTTCCAGAGAGAGTATTTATTATTTATTATTTATCATTATTTATTTATTTATTATTTTTCTTGTTCAAGTCCAGGTCTGAGGACAATGGGGAAGGCATTCTGTCATTAAGATCTCTGTTTTTGAAAGACAACAGAGTCTCAGGGTTTTATGGGGTGGTGCTCGTAAAAGCCCCATGTGTTCTGGGCCTGGAAGAGTATCTTTGTCCCTAGTCCTTTCTTGGATAGGTGTACAGTGGAAGCCTTTTTTATTTTCTCAGTGGAGGTCAGCTTCAAGCTTATACTTCTGAATGTCTTTTACACAGCTGTTACAAGGAGAAAAAAGTAGTGATAGCCTCATGGTTGAAGGGAAGTCACAAGTGCCTCTCTAAAGAATTTAGGGACACCTCACTGTCTCACAGGGCTCCAGCCCATTCAGTTAGCCTGGAATAATTGTTACATGATGCCTGGCTCACAGTAGGTGTGCAATAAATATTTCACAATGAATCCACTACTATCAAGTTATTGCTACCAGTGAGTGCTTGCCATGCTATGGCCCAAGAAGTAGAGCAGCAGATTACAGGATGATGTGTGTACAACATGTAGCTGGAAGCCTGGCGCTTGTTAACACGGTAAATGTTAGCAATCACAGTAGCAATGCAGCTGTGGTTCCTGCCAAGGAATGCACAAATGGATCAGTAGAAGAACAATGCTATACTAGGTCCTAGAGTCCAGGCTGTGGCTGTGAGTGATGAGGCCTTAGAATCAGGGTGTATTTAAAAGATGCTCAGCTATTTAAGCAGTTATCTAAGTACCTACCTGTGCCCCACTAAGCACTGAGATACAAGAAAGGACTACTTTCCAGTTCCAAGTAGCTTATAACTCTATAGCAAGGGACAGACATCTTGACAATAAAGACAAGGGTTTCTTGTGCCCTCCTGTTTTATTCAATGTTGCAGAACACTGAAAAGGTTAAACACAAAATAACCAAAGCAAGAACCAGTATGACCAGAGAGCTCAGAGCTGAGAGTGAGAAAGGACAGACTGACAATAGTCATTCTGTCTGAGGGGAGCAGCTGAGGTGGTTATGGGTACAGGGTGTGCAAGGTGGGACAGGAAGGGTCTGAGGAAAGGAGGTTCATGGTGGGAGGAGGGGAGGACAGATCAGAAAGGCAAGAGGGCATCACCAGGTGGTAGATGAACTGGGTGGTCATGAGTGTGCACTGACTGGCAAGTGAAGGCGACTCTGGAAAGTTCCTGAGCAATGGGTTGTGACAGAAACTTGCAGCATGTCCAACCTGTGGTAGTGGGCTGCCTGTGGCTGAAGACAGTTATATGACTCTTCCCTCTCTCCCTCCCTCTCTCCCTCCTTCCTTCCCTCCCTCCCTCCCTCCCTTTCTCTCTCCCTCCCTCCTTCTCTCTCTTTCCCTCCGATCTCTCCACAGGTCTGCCTACTAGGAATTTTGAAGAATCCTCC